TGGTGGGCTCCCTGTTTTTAATAACAACTAGGACGATGTACACATCTGTCCCACACACAGTTTATGATTTTGTAACTATAAAGCAATAAGGCTTTGCCTTATAAATCAAAATAATCCAGCAGCAACAGTTAAGTCTCTAAATTTTTAGCTCAAAGGGGAAAGCTAGGGAAGATACAGGCCACTAACTTGTTATTTGACAAATGTCGCTCATTAAGCTTATAGCCACGTGAACGTTTGCTGGGTAGGTGGCAATATTTGCACAAAGCAGCCAGCACACAACAGACACAGCTGCAGCAGTTATTCAGGTGAGCTTCTGGACTCAGGTGGTACTTCAGAGTCACACAAAAGAGCTAACTTTATCAAATGGAATTCCATTGTTTATCTCCTTAAATGTTTTTAACGCTTAACAGTAGTTGCTATTTTAACAATTATATTAAACAGAACCTGTAGGAGGTATGAAATGTGAATATGTATCTTCACTACTGACTGAACTGAAGCTATTGTTAAATACCAAAAATGTTTAAATCTTTAGTCACGCTTTGTACAATGTATCTGTCTATTTATCTATGGCTTTTCCCCCTCTTTTTTTTTTGTTTTTTTGCTTTGAAGTTGAAGGTCAAAATAACCGAACTCAGTACCAATTCTAAGTCTTTAGAAGGAATGAGTACTGTCTCTTGGACAGATAACAAATGCTACCTGTAAAATCTGCCTCTGTGCTGCCATGACAGGATAGGAACAGTTCCTACACCTCCTCTTTTATTTAATGGCTATTTATCTTGTTGAATACACCACTTTCAGCACTGATTGTGTAGTACTCATTTTTGTAATATTACTGTGCAATATGGTCTTACTGGATTTTTATATTTCCCCATTTGTTTGAATGCCTTATACTTCAGCTGCAAGCTTTTTCAGGGAAATGCATGCCTTTTTTTCCTCTTTTTTATGGTGCCCTGACAATGAGTCAGTGCATGGAAGCCTTGGGGTGAATACTAATGCGAGCAGATAACTACACTTTCCTAAGTTTATATAGTTACAGTTTCACAGGACCTGGGATAGATTCAGGTCAAAGTATTTTTATAAAATCTGGAAAGTCTTTTACCACCACATATCCCCACTGTTTAAAGATCAGTGGCTATTTTCAGGTAACAATTAACAAAAAAAAAATGCTTTGTTTGAAAAAATAAACAATACCTATAGTTCTTGTACTTCAAAGACTACAAAATATAAGACTTTTTTTGCATTCAGAATTTACTTCATGCAGGCAGTCACCATGACCATTCTACATCTGAAAGAGTCGAAAATAATACATTTACAAGCTTAAACCACATCATGGTGCATTGGTAGGTGCAGGAAAAAGCCCTGCTCATAGGCTGATTGTTTTAAATTTCAGGAACACTATAGTAGGTGGTCCCAAGACCTCAATCAACGCAGAAAACCCAAGTACCTGGTCTGCAACTCCACTTCTGGCCACAAGATAGAGCCATTACCACAGTCTTTGCAACCCAGCAAGCCTGGTCTCTGCAGGAGCCCCAGAGCCACCGCAGATTTGGGACTACAGCTTTTGAGAGCTCACAGGAATGAAACCCTGCTACAAAAATACAGCACTGGCATGTAATATTGAAAATAAAATAATAAAACCAAGATTTACATCTGCAAGTTAAACAAATACAACATATGGTTTAACAAATTGGTTTGACGCATTTATCACACACGGTAAGCAAGCCTGAAACTTAGCCTTTTGAGGTGTATGCAGGTTTTTTGCAAAGAATTACCACTTTATGCTTGCCCTACTCTTTTATTTGTCCCTAGGCATCTGCTCCCCATGGACAGCACCGAGGCAAGTCAGAAACCACTGCTGCCTTAAGTTGAGGTGCAATGTGTGCTTTCTTAATTTTCCCCACCCATATTCACAGTTCTATACTATGCTTTTAATGGCAAAATTGAGCTGTTCTTTTTTTCATTCCCACTGTTCCTCTCCAAGAGGGAGGGCCAAGATGGAGCAAGGTAGCTTTATCTCTTCAGATATGATTTAATGCAATTAGTAAGTTACCAACTACCTGTGTGCAATACAGTGCATGGGGTAGATGTCATTGCCTCCCCACACACCTCTGGACTGCAGAGCACCGATAACTGACTGCAGGCATGACTCAAGATAACAAGGCTTAGCAAGGAGGTGAAATTAATCTCCTATTTGCAACTTGTTCCTATTTGATTAGAAAGTTAGGTGAACAAGCCATGTTTGGAGTAACTTCAAAGTACAGCTCAACTAAGCTCAAATTTGTATTTTTCAGAATACACTGCTGGCATAGTAAAGTCCATAGGAAAAAAAAACACTAAATACTTATTAAGATGCCGCAGTATGTAGTAAATAATACAAAAGTCATGGTCCAGTGTTTTGTAATTTTTACGCATATTGCCCAAGATCAAATAAACTCACTAATAAGATATTACATGTCACAAATAAACCCTAATGTCCATCTTTGTTGGACAGTCCACATACTTCAAGTTTCCTTCTCCTAATTTTTAAATACGTTGCTGTGCTGCTGTTTTCCATATCTGCTTGGGTGAGGGCAAATTTTCAAGATGCTATAAGGCATGCAAAGAACCACAAGCTCAAAACTCATGTTCATTATGATGAATATAAAAGAAAACTATCATTCCCAGAGCTGCGTTCACTTCATGTTTGAAATATAGAACTTCTTGAAAAAGACTGTCTACTGAGATGTATACTTTTTGCAATTCATTTCACAGAGTTTATTTCTTTACAATGGAACACACACTTCAAGATGACTGAGAAATGTCCTCTCCTCAGTGCACACACTGCTTCACACAGGAAGAAAGACCAAGCCAAATACACTGGGATCCAGCTGAGATTCCAACTCCTTTTATAAAGAACAACACTTCACTTTGCAAGCTCACATCTGTGTGCCTTTTGGAAGAGGCGAGAACTCTGAGCAGCAAACCCGTAAGCTGATCCTAACCCAAAACCACCAGTATCATTCCCAATTAAGCATTTCCCTTCACCTATAAAAGCGAATTCATTTTGAAAGTACTTAGATCTGCTTTCCCTAAAGGCCTGCTAAAGCTCTTACATAAACTCTGTATGCTTTGCTTACAGTCAAAAAGGTCACAACTCATTCAGGACAACATTCAGGCAGAACACTCAAAATTTAATTTCAGCAAATACTCTCAACTTCGTACCTTCAGCAGCCCTGCAGCTTCGGGAGTCAAAATAACATTTCTTTTCCTTCCTCCTCTTACCTCTTTGAACTCACAACTGAATCATGTATTTATATAGTTTCCAACAATTTGCTATTGACTGAAGAATTATCCAAAAATATTCTCAAACCCTCACCTACAAACTTAGAAAAATGTTAGCACTTAGAAACTGGAATTATGTAGGGAATTTAGTTGTAACAACACTATTTTCTATATAACTAAGATTTTTCCCAGCATAGCTGTTGTTTTCTTTCAGTAGTTTGCTCCATCCTTCACTCCACTTTCTTTGCTTGCTCTCCTGCTGA